GGAATATAGGATGATCTACTGAACTCCTCAAGTTTTAATGTAGCTCAGATTACCTTTTGCACATGTATTAGTACATGTTGTATGTCAAACTAATATTGTCAGACATTGTGTACAGGAGCAGTAATATATTATGAGAATGAATAATTGATTAAGATTAACGATTTATTGCAAATAATAGAGAAATAACTGAATATTCATAGTTCTAACATAGATATACATATGTAGCCTGTATCGTTCGATTTTATCTCCCACTTTGTTACGATTATACCCTAATGTTGTTAGTTATACCGAGGAATGATTTATTGAGAAATTGCGAAGAATATGATCATTAACATAATTTTATCTATGTATGCTCTGTAGTATATCTAGAAATATTCTGTGCAGTACAAATAATGCAGTAATGATCCTTTTAGGATCATTTAAAAACATCGTTTTTGACAGTCTTAGAATGATTAGTATCTTGAAATCCTAATTTGAATTGGAATATATATATATATATATATTATATTCAATGAGATAACTGTACACCTGAATGTTGCTGATAGATGCATGAAATGCACATGACAGTCAACTTTAGTTGTACCCATTTCTTCTTTTTATCTTTTTTATCTTATATGTATAAGATACATTTATTCCCTGTGTCAGATTAATGCAAATTGATCGGCAACTGAATATTATTTGCGAACATCATTATCCATAACTAAGTACGCATAAATTCAGATATTGTATATTTAAGAAAAGCGGCAGCTATTCCAGTGTTAAGATCAAAATATACATCGTAAATAATTCTAGAACCATGTAACAAGGAAGTAATTTATATAGTGAAATAAGTTTAAGAATGCAAGTAGGTAATGAAATTATCTTATTGCACTCGCTTAAATTTAATTTTAATTTAAAAAATTTAATTTGAGATTTAATAGTCAAGATACTGGAAATTTGAACTGATGATTTATTAAATTTTCTAACAAATTTTTTACATATTTGGAGTTGGCGCATTTAATAATGGATAAAAAGTGATATTTTTTGTCAGAAATACTTTCGACGAAATAAGAGAATTATTGTATTCTGCCATTTCGTCGAAAGTATAGTATAATATATAATATCTAATTTACATATAATATAGTAATTTGTAATAATTGATTACCAAAACACTAGTTTATTGTAAGAATTGTGCATAAAATTTGTGTCTGATGAATTCAGTATTTCATTTTATTCATAAGGATTAATATATTGCAACTTTTAACCAGCACTCATCTTTTACCGAGTTAATTTTTGTGCTAGTGCACAGTAAATACATACAACGCGTATATCTAAACGTATAATATTTGTATTTTATGTTATTAGAAAATCATTTACTATAGGAGTAAAGAAAGAACGAGACAATAGAAAATATAATGAAGACTGGGATTGATGAGATCATGGTGTGCAGTTGCAGCATTATAATACGTTTTATGTACATTATATTCATTATATTCATTCTATCTCATCTCTCTCTCTCTCTATGTACATACAATCAAATCCTCACTTGTCATTGTTACGATCACAGACTTCTATAAATCTTCTTTCTAGAATTCTGTGATTACGATCGTATAAGGATTTTAAATAATTAAAGAATTTTGAGGCAATAATATGCTAAATCGCAACGTAAAGACGTATCGGAGCTTAAGTTCTATAATTATTTGCTCTATCATATATTGCAATTTAAATCAATTATATTATTTTTTTGAAGAAGCAATATTCGAAGAAATAGATCTGATAAACTTTGGTAATTATTTAGAATAGGGGAGGCAGCACCGATGAGCTTGACCTTGACATATGTTATCGAGGTCGTGATCCTGATAATACGTTAATTTTTAAACTTCTTTTGTTAATAACTTTTTAACGAAGGACGAACGACGGTTAAAATTTGTCGGAGGTTACTCAGGGTCACGACCTTGATAACATATGTCAAGATCAAGGTTATCGGTGCTGCCTCCCCTATTCTAAATAATTACCTAAACTTTTTCTGTTATTGTCTCTGTAAAATTCATTTTGTATGATTTAACATGTTATCGCCCCGGCTCGTTAACTTAACAAAGTTAAAAAATACGCATTGCATTGTGTCATACTTCTCTTAAATATTTTTAATTATATTACGTATCGATATTGATTATCTGTCATGTCATTGTGATTATGACGTTTATTTTTTATCAGTAATGATAGCAACTAGTATTACTGCAATTCGATAGAAGTTACTCTGTATCCGTCGCTCAAATGTAAATAAAGTAACATACGTTTAATATGGGGAAGTTGTTTAATGTGCAAGTATATCACAATTAAAGAACGTTCGATACATACATTTTTAATAAATACTTTTGCAATTACGCATCACATATACAATTAAATCGTGGGTTGATAAAGTAATATCTGTTTAATGTGAGAAGTTGTTTAATATGCAAATGTACATTATAATTACAAGGTATTCGATGCGTATTTTGAATAAATATTACAGTAACTGCGAGAAAGGCATCATCTATATATCAAGATACTTTATAACTGTAATACAATTGGCGCCGTAATGTTAACTAATATTAGGAAGATATAACTTATTACGTTTATTACTATATGAAATATATAGGAATAACCGATTATACATATGTACAGACTTACACTGGGTGTGTAACTATATCATAACATATAAACGGACTGAATTATATATGCGATTTAAATAAGAAAAAAGATAATTATTGCTCATAAATATTATTTGATTTTCTTACAAACTTCCGGTACATAGTATAAGTAAATAAATTATGAGTCAGGTTATATCGCGATGTATGGCATTTTACTTACGCAGCCAATTAAACAAATTTTATAACAAACCATTTCGATAAATTGTATTGTTTATATATAGTAGATATGAGTAGATAATTATATATATATGTATATATATAGAAAATTATTTATTTTAATATCTTCACAACCATTTTTAGTATGCAGCATTTTATTACTCACCGCTGCGTTTTGTTGCTGGAAATCGCTTGCTTATCTTGTTCATTCTAATTAGAAGACAATAATTTATCTCTCTCCGCAGAAGTTCTATATTTTAAAATAATAATAAAATTAAAAGGGATAAACGGTTCGCGATAAACGATGCGCAGTTCTATAATAAAAACCTTTAATAATTCAATAAGTCAACGATATTAATAATTAAAGTTTTAAAAATTAATAAGCCGCAAATCCGGTTTATTAACTTTTATAACTTTAATTGTCAATATCGTTAACTTATTATGTTATTATATAAGAATTTTTTAATTATAGAACTGCGTACCGTTTATCGCTCTGACTTCCAATGTTCCTTTTAATTTAATTGTTATTTTGAATTATCGGAAACTTTTATTATTGCGTTTGCATTATATTTAATATTTTATTCGTGTATTTTTTGCCTGCATGCATATTGTATAGGTCCATGCATTCACAGCTCCGTAAATCCACAGTTTTATTTTGTAGATTTCAATAAACATAGAAAAACATTTTTCGCTCGATTTTTCAGAACAGCATCGAATTATAATTATCGTACAGTTTTAATATAATATATTAACATGTTAAATGATTGAATTAAGATTGTAATTAATTTTGAACCGAGCTCATCACTCAAATATGTACATTAATGTAATGTAGTATTACAAGGAATGACAATTATTTCGTGCTAACGAGGCTACTAGTTAAAAGATTACGAAGTAATGTCGTACATTATTTTGACGCATATGTCGAGTTTTTTCATTCTATACATATAAAAAAAGAACATTTTACAGCTCAATTGCTGTAAAAATATTGAGAATTGGAAATTAAAAAAATTTATTAAATAAAATTTCTAATACCTACTTACATTAAAAATATCTAAGTAATTACATTATTTTGAGTGGAGAGTCTATATTAAAAAATATTAAGTTTTGTCTATACCTTATTAATTACGAAACATACCGAACCATCAGAATGGGGACAACATCAAAATAACTCTCTTTTCGATCGAATAAACATGACATCTAAAAGTCATCTGAAGAATATCTCTAAATGAATATTTCTAACCTTTTCAAGATTTATATCATTTAAATTTTTCAGTTGCCTAAAAAAAGATTGCTCAAAATAAATTAGTTAGTTTTGTCCCATTTTTAATCTTTCTCAATCGCTCTCTAACATTATTCACATACATTAAAAAATACTATTACGTTTCACTCCCTCCCTACATTAAAAAATCTTAATTATGTTACTCTCCCTTTCTCTCTAAAAACAATTTAATTTAATAATGTACAATTTGCGTATAATATATTAATACGCGGATGCAAGGCGAGATGTTGAAGAAGTAAGAGCTCTCTTCTGAAATTGCAAAAGTATTGATCGAAACATATACAATTTTTTATTTAAAACTTTGCATACAGATGATGTGCGCACAGTTCTCAGTGTCTATTTATTTAACTTCTCACAGTTAGACTTAAAAAATTTAAATTATCTGTCACGAAGTTAACTTGCTAAATACCATCTTTCGCAGTCATTCGCATGCAAAGTATTAAGACGTTAACGATCCACTGAGCACATTCACCGTTTAACCGAAAGAAGGAGACAGTAGAAAAATAAGAAGAAAAGCGTAGAAACAAGACACATCGATAGAGCACAAGTAACGATATGAAAAGCGTCGCGCTAGTATATTATCTTAATTATAATGATCGTTACAAACATCTCCACAAGTACACCCGGAGGAAAATCGATAGGCTTACTTTGGAAATGTTTGCAAAGTTTTAGGATTGTTTCGACGTTCGAAATCGTCGTTGCGAATTATCACTGAACATTTTGTCACAAGATTATCTCAAGAAATATCGAGAAGGAAAAATTTATTCAACAATATCTTCAGCTTTCTATCGGATCTTTTGAATTAAAAATGAATCGAATTCTTTTGAATTAAAAATGAGTTCGTATCTAAATGTGAACTTTATAAAAAATGGAATGAATTAGTATATTTGATCAATTTTCTTTTTCGAATTTCAATGAGAATTGTGTCGGTATTAAATTTAGTGATAATTAACAACAACGAACGAAATATTCATTTCTTAAATTAGGAATCGACAAGAAATGTTCGATCAAGACATCGAGTACATCTTTATACATCGTACCAGTCAATTTACAATTATTTAAGTACTATTTATATCGAGATTTTGTTATTCAATATTTAATACTTTTTTATTTGTTTACTCCGACGCGAAAATGGTTTTTTTTTTTCAGGAAAAAATTTTTTTAAATATGATTTTGAAATATATTCACCTATGGTATTATTCGTAATAATCCTCGTAAAAATCCTAATTGAGCAAGTTTACTTCATGTTGTCTTGATTGAACTTTCCTAGCGTTTTGTCGACTTCCATGTTGCCATTATATGCACTTTCAACAGCAAGCACGATATTAATTAATAACTATCTCAATCCTGACATTTGTTTTCAGGTTGATTGAAAATTGATGTATATTATTCTTTTCCATTCTAATGTTATCCGGCTGCGCTTCTGGTACTATTTCTTAGTAAAGATTGTAACTGTTGAGCTGCACCCTAAAAGCCAAAATAAAAATGTTAATGACTAATATAATGAGATGATCTTTTTAAATAATTAATTCAATACGTATAACATAAAAATTTTTAATGATAGTAACTTGAGAATATAGAAAATAAAGTGGTTAAAAAAATTTTTAATTTGTTTTCATAATTTATTTTTAATTATAATTTATTATCCAGATAATTTAAATAATATTTTTTTGTAAGATAACTACGCAAACTCTTTGCAAAACTTTATTTATGTATTTATCTTCATTATACACAGAATGAAGTAGAATAAATTTTAAATTTTCATTAAATTTTCTTATTAATTAGTTAAAAAAGTGAAATTTCATGAAAAAGAATGTTTACCGAGATGGCAGCGCCAAGGAATCTGCCTATGGCTCTAGTAGCGGTAACCAGCCCGCTACCCGATCCACTTCCTCCGAAGAGAGGAGGCGGATACGTTGAACTTGGAGCCCATGTCGTAGTTTGTAATATATTCTCTGTTGGTCTTGGTCTCGCAAAAGGTCTTGATGTCACTACTTGTTTCGCTATGGTAGTCGGTCTAGTGGTTGTTGGCCGAGTCGTGATCGCATCCGGCGCAAGCAGACCTTGACTCTGATCGAGAAGATATACATTTATACATATATGTTTATCGATATTTTTCAATAAATCATATACGCAAAATTTCAGAGTATCGTGAAAGAAATATTACTCACTGATAATTGTAATTGTTCCCTAAGTTTCGTTACTGGTGTTGTCGGTTCTATTCCTTGTTGTTTTAAGAGTAGAGCCAGCAAAGCAGCAGGATTCACTTCGGTAGAGGATGATGTTGTAGTAGAAATGCTAGCCTGATTACTTAAAATCGCTCTCAAAAAGGCTTCATCATCCTCACTTAATCGTGTCGTCGCCGAAGTACTCGTTTTTGTTTCTGCTATTAGATATTATTTATTATGGATAAATAAAAGCTATAATAATCGGAGTTTGAAATCAAAATCAGATTTAGGAAACTGTAGAAATTGATTTTGGATTTTAAAATGGTTCTTCTATTCTTGACTTTGTTAAATTAACAATTTTAAATTTATAATTAATTTATTTTCAAAATCTAACTATAAGAAAAAATCATTACTAACTATATAAAAATTGATTATTATTCTTCATTTCTTGCCTTATTTTTACAGTCAGTAAAAATAGTTATAAATCAATTCAATAATTTCAAAAATATGAGAAGACACTTTTAGATAATTAACGCCTGATTAGTGAGATATCATTTTGTATTTTAATTTTCAATTGAATAAGTGTAATTGATAATTAAGTGCATATTTTATTAAAATATCTCATTAAAAAAGAAAAGATGGAAAAAATTTACCCGTTTGTACTGCTTGCAGGAGCGCAGCCAAGAATTTCGCGTCGTCCTCGGGTGAATACGTAGACGTGGAGACGTCTCTCAATCTAGGATTTGGATTATTTAAAAGCATGGTTGAAACCGTACTTGTTGACAACTGCGTTGATGCGGAAATGATATTGTCTGCTAGCGATGTGCTCGAAGCTACATGAATGTCCGAAATATCAACGTTTCTTGGCGTCGTTGGCGATTTGATCGAGGTCATTACTTGATTCGACTTAATGATCTGCGCTGGTGCTTGGGTGGAGCTGGCAGGTTTTCGAGTCGTTGCCTTAATCGTGGGTTTCTTTTTTGCAGCGCTCGCTGCAGTGGTCGCGTCGAAAAAATTGTTGCCAAACAACGCTCGCCATAAACCTGAACCAAATCCTACAGGCGCTCGAGGGGTGGTAGCTTTGGGTCTGGCTGTCGTCTTAGGCTTGGCAGTGATAACGACTGGTGCTTTAGTCGTGATAGTCGGCGCGGTGCTAGCTTTTGTCGTCGTGATTGTTTCAGTGTACTTCTTCGTAGGTGACATGCTGCTAGATATGCTTGGCATAGGTGACGTAAGTGGTAACAAATCGATTATTATTGGTTCAGAAGACAATCCAAATGACGTGCTCTTTGATGGATTCTTGATTACATTCACATTTGCATTCGAATTTGCGGTTTGAATCGCTTTTGGCGATCGCGTTGGCCCAGGATTAGCCAGTGCAAGAGACAAAATCTACAAAAAATATATAAGTATTAGCTGAATTAAGAGTTTATTATAAAGATATGAATGAAATAAGAGAAAGAATCCTATTTTTAATCGGATTTTTGAAATGGATTTTGGTACTTAATAATAAATGTGAATTTTTAAATATACATATTTTTCAGTAAAATGTGCTCCGATTTGGACTTGAAACATAATATTAGTCAAAATTTAATATTTTGCTCATTTTATGTATTAATTTGGAAGATAACTGTACTAAAAAAAATATTTTCTCTTTTCCGTACTTATGTTTATTATAAATGTTAATGTTTATTTTGCTTACTCTGTTTGCTAATAATTGCTCTACTTCACTTAACGTTTTCGGCGTAGTGGACTTAACATCGTTGTTGTTTTGTAACTATAAAAGATAAAGAATTCTTTATTATATTAACTTATATAGTTCATTACATTACACAAGTATTTTACAATATTTCTCGATATTTAAAGGCAGAAATAACTCAGGTAACAAACATATTATTTATTACTATTTTAACGTCAAAATGACGATAAAACGTCTGTTTGCTATTTGAGAACATTAAAAAATCTCTAATATAAATTAAAAACAAACGAAATTTACCAATGAATTCAAGAAAGCCAAATCTCCGTACGTGCTACCAAAGGGATTCTCCATCGTGTTTGCTTGTAATCTGCTTAATATGTTATTCGTAGATATTGTCGATGCAGTAGATGACGGCGGAACTGTTCCTATGCTTGCTGTTATATACGGTACAGTGTAAGTATATGAAAGAAGTTTATGAAAGAAAAAGCTTAAGCTAGTCGGCCCTGGTGAAAAAATTTCGCTGAAATTATTACACGTTTTGGAACATGTCAGCGAAATTGCTGAAAATTTGCTGAAATTTTACTGAAATTTTTGCTGAAATTTTGCTGAAAATGAATTTTTCGGCTAAAAATCGCTGAAATTAAATTGAAAATATTCTGAAATGCTAAAATTTTGCTGAAAAATGTTTCAAAACGTGGAATAATTTCAGCGAAATTTTTCCACCGGGGGGAGAATAATAGTAAATGGTATATGTACCTGGCGTTGTCGTTTGACTTGTCGTGGTCGTTGCAGGAGTCGTTGTTGAAGTAGTAGTCGTTGTGGTAGTTGTAGTGGTGGTGGTAGTGGTAGTAGCGGCAGTAGTCGTTGCTGCGGTTGTTGTTGGTGCCGGCGTAGTAGTAGTACTAGTAGTAGTACTAGTAGTAGTAGGAGTAGTGGTGCTGGTAGTAGTAGTAGGAGTGGTGGTACTGACAGTAGTAGTAATAGTAGGCGTAGTAGTACTAGCAGTAGTCGTAGTGGTTGTGGATGGAGATGTTACTGCAGTACTCACGATTGGTGTGAAAATTTCCACCATGGAATTTACACGCGACACAATCGGTGCATTGTTCCCGGTCGGCTCGTCCTAAAAAGAATATATTTATGAATAAAAAATATAACGAAAAAACAGAAAGTGTAACAAATATTTAAACGTCATTCATTATCCTATGTTTTTTAAAATAAATGTAACAATTTTGGGAATCTATTATTTAATAGAAACTTCTAATACTCGTTCAATCATATTTTGACAATATTTGAACACAATTGTTTAATTTTTAAAAATATCATTTGTTATTTTATATGTAATACGCACTAGTTGATTTGTTGCCACAGATGCTGTTTGTATAGGTGAGTTGGTAGTGATACCGAATATCTGATCAAGGGAGTCTCCCCAAGGAAAACCAGGAGGTGCTGTTATTACATTACCACCCGATTGATTGTTCAGTAAATTTTTAAAAGACGGGTTCGATGCTGTAGATGATGCCGTGCCTTCGTTCACAGAAGTCTAACAACAAATTCGTAGTAATTTAGTAATTCTATTTTTATTTTGTATTTCTATATATCGACTATCTGCAGTTGTTATTGTTTATAAATTTTTTGCAATATTTATTAGTTTAGTAAGTCATTAAAAAGTACAATACTCGTATCATGACATTTTTAACAATAAATTATATTTAATGTATGAAATGAGATACTCATCTATATATATAGTAAGCAATAAAGAGAAGCGTGAGTAATTTTTAATTTCCAAATTGTTAACAAATAGAAGCAAGAAAATTTATTAATAAAAAGAAATTCAACATTAAGAAATATCGAATTATCATTCGATTACTTACAGCCACTGAATTTATTCTTACATCAACGACTTTTGGATTGATATCAGGTGCACCGTCAATCTGATAATTAATAAATTTATCCTGAAATATTTATGATTGTGCTTTCAAGTGTTTCCTCCTTCAGTAAATAATTACATAATGTGATTTTGTTTACTACCTGTCCGATATATACAGCGCTATTTTGATCAGACGTCACTCTTGTCCGAGAAGCTTCGTTTCTTTCGCGATCTTGGATGATCCTCGGAGGGCCTTGTACTTGATTGCTATTTGGCTTCTGATTACCGAATGAGTTCGGCAACGTACCCATTTGAGAATTTAATAAAATATCGCTCTGAAATATTTACATGCCGCATTTAATAATATTGCTAAAAAAACCTTAATATTGTGAATAGAAATAGAGCTCATAAACTTGCAATATTTTTCAAATATTATGAAGGGAACAAGATTAGTGCGATCGTGTCATTTGCTATGAAATAAAAATATACAACTTTCATGCCCTTTAATACTTTTTAGTAGATATTTTCATAATACCGTCAATTCTTTTAGTTTTTAATATCATGAAATTTTATTTAAGTACCTAATTATATAAATTTATAATAATATAATAAAAATTTAAAATGTATTTTGTGATTTTTTTAAGAACGAAACATTGTTTTTAATAAATTTATTTGAGATTAGAGACTGTAATAAGTCCCGTAATAATAAAAATGTACATTCATCTACACAGCTTATTTTAATGTAAAATATAAAAATATTTGAACACAGTTCTGATAAAAAATTCAGGAGAATAATAAAAAAAGTTTCTTTTTAACCGTAGCATAACACATGTCGTGCTCGTTAGATGACCGAATCTGTAAAATAATAAATCTTTATAAAATGTTTTTTATGTATTATGAAATATATCAATATTTAATAGTGAAACGTATGATTAGGTTGTGTATGCTACATCTAACAAAAGATACAGTGCGTAAAAGAATTTTAAAAGTGCAAATGGGCAAACGAGAGTGCTATAAATTGTCACAACTATTTACAAATTTACAATGATACTCTGTGTACAGCCGTTGTACAGCATTCGATATTTTTGACCTGGAAAAAAGTATTAAATTGCATTTCATTAAAATTACGAAAATATATAAAAGCATATATATTATGAGAAGAAAGTCTGTCAAAAGAGAAGCTATGAAGACAAGTTATGAAGTTATGCTAAGAAATTGAATTGTTAATCTATCAATATTACATAATAATTATCCAGCGAGAAACAGAAAGAGAGTGTGTTATGAAACTTTACGTTCAATAGGAATAAAAAGAATTAGAAATGCTGGTCGTTACATGAATATCCGCATTTCGCTAAGCATGAGATTATCTGCTTCTTATTAATATTATATTTAAATATAATTTTTAAAAATTTCAGGCTGTAAAACTGAGAATTGAATAAATATTTATATTCTATAAAATATGTGTACTAAAATAACGACTTTTAAAAATTGAAGATAAATTTGCAATTTTTTAGAAATATAAAAATTGTAAATAAAATTAGACACAGTTATTCTAATAAAATTCTGATTTCTATTAACGTTAAATCACTTCAAGTTATTTTCGCGTTGCAACGATTTCTAAATGTCTAAAGAGCCAGGAATCGCGACTCGTTTCTCAATTGCGATTTGATTCTTGATCAAATTCGTTGCACGTATAAAGTATGATTTTGATGAAGAGATGAGATAAAGATACCATTTTGTTTGTGCTTGGGATGCTAGCAGGGGGACCAAATGGTCCCGTGAAATTGGGGCCTCCAGGGGTAACGCCGATCGCATTACCAATAAGTCCAAAATCAAAGGATCCGGGGTTCTGGGCGTCTCTCGTCAGGTCATCCACGGGTCTACCGTTATTATAGTACACCGGGGCTTGATACTGGTTGTTATAAACGCCTGCTTGGTTAGCCTGGTTATAATATGGCCTGGGTGCTGGTCGGTTAGTAGTAGTGGTAGTTCTAAGCGTGAACACAACCTCGACCGGGTTCCTGGGTGACTCCGGTATTATCGTTCCGTTGGGAAACTTCCGAACTAGTCTGCCGTCCGGATAGATGCCGAATATCACGTACGGGCTGTCTACGTTCCTGCCGTCGATCACATTGTCTTCCGGCCGCTTCCGCACAATGGTCTTGTTGGGATAAATACCATAAATCAAGTAGTCACGAACAGGAGCCTTGGAAGAGCTGGGTCTCGGAAGTGGAGTCATTTGGCTGCCGCCGAAACGTCCCAAATAGGGCCCTGGTTGGAAAGGTGTAGATGCCGGAAATGATGATACTCGATTTAGCATAGTAGTCCGTGCGGTAGTTGACGTGGATGATGTATTATTTGTGCCATTTGTGGGTGGTGCGACACTTGTCGTCGTTGTTGTTGCAGTCGTCGTTCCTTCTCCGTCGTTTATCCTCGATATCATGTTCAGATCCTCCGATTCAGTCGGGACGGTCGTCGTGCCTCGCGTAGTCGAGATATCAGTCGTTGTCTCAGTGGAGACGAGATTATCGTTTATGTCGGCAGTCGTAATGGTCATTTCGGACGTCGATTCGACAGTGGTAGTGAGATCGGATCGCGACGTTTCCGTTGATGTCGTTCGGAAAGTTGTCGATGTCGTCGTCGTGGTCTCCGTTGTCGTAGTTGCTATGGTTGATTCGACTGATGAGGATGGGATGGTTGATGCGTTGGTAGAGGATACGGGGGATGTGGTGGAATCGGTTGTTAGTGCGGTTGAAGATGTGATGTTAGGGACGGTGGTAGTGATGATGGTTTCGGTCGTTTGCTCGGGTTGGATGATTCTCGAACCAGCCGTCCCTTGGGCGGTTGTTGTATCCTGTAAACGGGCAATAAAATTTGGCATCTCGCTTACGAGATCGGTTAGCGTTTGAGGGGTGTTTGTTGTTATGTCGTTGAGTTGATTAGTGGTAGTGTCGGTGAAGCTTACTAAGTTACGAATTGATTCCGTGATAGGAGATTCTGTATCAAATGGCTGAGTATCGCTTGTATCGGATACCATTGGAAGTATTGTAGTGATATCCGATGCTATGAGGGATTGGTCGTTTGTAACCTGTAGGTCAGATACAGGCATTATCGTGGTGGGTACCGGTGTCTGATTAGTGGTATCTACGGCGTTCGTTTGTACAACGTTTATTTCCATCATAGCTACACTAGTGGTTAATTCTGTTACCATGTCTGACGTCGTGGAATTGTTTACGTCAGACGTGGACAGCATTCCCTCTGTATTCACGGTAACAGAGCTCGCTAAGGGATTATTGGTAGCGAATTCTAATAACCGATTCAACAACTGAGTCTCGTTGTTTGAAACTGTCGTAATAGTTTGTTGTTCAGTATTGTTACTAGATGATTCAATCGAATTAAATAATTGTGAGTCAGGCGTATTAGTAGTTAGTTCAGAACTCATGCTGGCCGTAACCGTAGTGATGTTTGATGTTCCGGTTTCCATCTGCGAAAGGGGCATTGTGGTAACATCATCTACATTGGTGGGTCGCGCGTTAGATTCCACTAACGAAATATTCGATCCTACAACAGGGTCGCGAGTAGAATTATCTCCTCTTTCATTTTCGGCTAAATCAATGAGTGTTGTGATGTCTATACGTTCGGTAGTGTTTTCTAAAGGTTTCGAAAGTTCGGAAGGTGCAGTGGTAGCTTCTGACGCGCTGTTCAACACGAACACGGTTCGATTTCTATCGTTTCCTACCGTGCCGTCAGTTTGACCCAACTGTCGCGTGTCGTTCATCGCTTCCGTGAAGAGAGTCTTCGCGATAGTCATTAGCTCAGCGAGTAACGTATCATTAGACGATCGGGGATCGTTCTCCGTAACAGACTCAATGAGTCGCGAGGTCGGTGTCAGCGTGGTGGTCGCAACTTCTCCATCCATCGTTGGAGCTCGCGCATCCTGAGTTGCCATTGTCGATTCAGGATCTGATGTCGTGTTGCGTTCGTTGCCTACGGTACTCGAAAATGTCTGTTCCGTTGTTGTATTCGAGTCCAGTGTATTCTGTGCGTTTATCCCTTGATCATTAGATTGACCCTGAAGCGTAGTATTCACACCTACTGTGTTTCGATTGGTCTCTTCTGATCCGTCCGTCGTAATCGACACGAATTCTACATCGAACGACTCCGTCGTTTCGTCGTTACCCGATCCAGCTATTCGCATGGTAGTCGTCTCTTCTGGTTGCGCTGGGCTCTCCGTATTTGTTGACGACGAATCTGGTATTGTATTGGACATCTCGGGAGAGACGGTCGTCGTGACGGTAGGTCTTTGGACTGGCGTGTTAATCGTCGTAACCTCCTTTTGCGATAAAAGTGATAGAATATTTTGCGCGTAATCGACTAATCGTGTGCGGTATGTAGATGAGAAAGCGGGTACCGCTGTTGCACGAATTTCTATTACGTCATTTGAAATATCTTCGGTCGTGGTTGACTCAGTGGTGCTTGTAATTTCCGTTGTTTGAGACGGATCCGTCGTGTCGGATTGCTGTATAGTATTTGTTTCTATATTCTCGATTGTGATGGTCGTTTCTGTTAGGCGAGGCGTCGTTTCTTCAGATTGTTGCACGGTATTCGTCTCAATACTCTCCGACGTATCGTTCATCGCAAGTATAGTCGTCGCTTCCGGTGGTAAGTGCATCACAGTAACGCTCTCGGTGATTGGGGATGGTATTGTTGTATCCGATGTATCATTCGCCGTTTGCAGATTTTGAGAAGCGGGCATGGATATCCTTGCATTCACCGTTTCAGTGATGAGTAGCGTTGCTACTTCCGTGGTTTTGGTGCTCAGTTCGGTGGATTGAACGTCGTTAGAAACGGATTCTGTGGAGGATTCTGCTGCCAAAGTTATATCGGCGACGCTTGTTGACGTGGCAGTTTCGGTAGTGGTGGACGGTGGTGGTGTGTTCGTTATCGCGTTAACGGGGACGGTGGTTCCGGGTATTTCCGAGGTGGGGACTGGAGTCGTTTCTCTTCCGTTTGTATCCGGATTTGCGGGGATTTGTACCGTCGTGATGGTCTCCGGGCTACCATCGGTACTATTCTCGGCACCTAATGAAGCGAGCGAATTGTTTGCCGATTGAACGGTGGTGGTAGTGTCTACAGTAGTGATATCTGGGGAGGATGTAGTAGTAGTCGCGGTGATTGATGGAGCGATGGTGTCATTGTTGTTAGCAATATCGTTACTGGCGCCGTTAGGTACAGTAGCGTTAGGGTCTACCTTCGTTACCACGCCAGTTAGTCTTTGCCGCTGAGACACGTCTTCCGCGCCCAAATTTTCATTTCTTATGCTAGCCGATTCTAACGCCTGATAAAAAGTGATGAATCTCGGCTCGCCGGGGCTGTTGATGGCAACGGGTGGTGCCGAACCGGAATTCTGCAATCAGAAATTCGGTGCGTGCGAGTGCTGTACACACTTTGGTGCAATTACGGTGACAAAGTAGTCGGGTACAAACGGAAGTCGGTTAACAGAAGGCTTTTTGTAACACGCGTAATCTACATATCGAGGGCGGCGTTTCAACCCTTAAGCGCGACTAGCTTTGGCGTGAGCTTAGTTCAAGCTTACAAAAATGCTAATCACAGCATGAATAACAATAGTAGTTTGCGCGTTTAAGAGTTAATACGTTTTAGTTATTCTATTTACAAATATGCGTTTACAGATGTGCACTCAAATGAATACAACGCAGCTATTGTAATATATACAATATCTCTTATTAGCGATTAGCGTGTTATTTGATGAAAATATTTTTATGGCCTAATATATAGCTAAACATTTATGGCAAATACAATTATACAAATGGACGTTATACGAAGCTGATACATCAGTTGCAAGTTGATCGCAAACTTGTGATAGCCAATCTAAAGCGTCAATTTTAAAATTGACGCTTATTAGATTAATTCTCGCAACAAGCTTGCGATCGATTTGTGGCTAATGTAGAACCAGCTTGAGAAAATATGTGAGCATACACCATCTTTAGGTACAAGTACGAACTAGTGCAAGAGGAAGGAGAATTGTTGCCGAATGTAAAGTTTTGATGTAACAACTGTGACTTGGAACTTGTTCTTAAGATTAAAGATATTAACAGCGGGGGGACTAGTTCCCCTCTCGTCTCCGACACTTTTTTCTCTTGTTCAGGATATTACCGGCTCTTACCTTGTGTCTACAGAGGCCTCCATTGATGTACTTTCGCTATTACATTATTACGGAAGTATTGCATTAACAATTTCTCGCACGATTGCCTGATAGAAGCCTCAAAAACAAACAAACGTTCGAAGTGGCACGTGCGAAGTGCTAGAGTTGTTCACGTTGTGAAAATTATCACGTGAAATTAATCCAATTCTGAATAACCGCTTCGATATTTTAAAATACTTTGTGAGAAAAAACTTTATATAAAAACATATATTAAAATAGAATAATTCCGAAATAAATTAATGAAGAAATAAAAAAGTTAAATATATTGATAGTAAAGGATGCTTGATGGCGACATATTCTTCTTCCATTGATATTTTGTATCGTTCTTATTTTATTATGTGCTACAGAAAGAGATAGAAAATATAGAATGCTCACTATACATATATCTCTATTATATGCACGAATATATACTTTCACTTCTCGCTGTCCAAGAGCGATATTTTCTTAATGAGATGGAGCATGCAAAGTGTCTTTATAGAATCAAGATAGATTGTATGTGCATTCGATGACTCTTGAATTTAGGATACAATATCGAGATAAAATATTAAATTACAGACAGAGATGCAATATGACAGATGGATGATAAATGTTGAGACGGACAGTGAAACGAATATCTGGATTTATTGTAAACACGTTGACAATTTCTTTGATTATATAGTAAAGTACAAAAATTTATTTGTATTACATTATCAAAAATTCAAATAATCGAAAACAACTGAAGAATCACAGAGATACATGTACTTTCAATGTTATCGAAGAGTCGAAAAGCTGTGATATGTTTTCGATATTTTATTAAGTTTTATTAAAAATAATAAAAGATATTTTGCACTTCTATAGTTATATATATATTCATCTAAATAATCCAATTATTATATAGTTTTCTAATTATAAATGGTTCTTGCGGTTCTTGCAGTTATTATTGGAGTCCGTAAATTGTTTAACTTTTTGCATTGTATACATATTCAAATAAATTTATTTTTACATCAATCGATGTAAACTAAATAGTGTTATAGAGAAACATCACGTGTATGTTGGTTCAAAACGACTCAATACTACTTTTCTAATTCACTCACAATTCTGTTACGTTTGTAAATACATTATCATAAGTACAATAAGAATTAAACTAGAAATTAATATATTTATTGTTTTCTTTTCTTTTAAAAAAAAATTTATACTTTTTTCTTAACAGATATATATATATTTGCAGATTTTTAATTCTACATAGTTAAATAAGGACAAACAATTGCTAATCGCGTGCAATGCTAAAAAATCAGTACATTTATTATTAAAAAATATAAAATTGTATGATACAATATTTGCACATATCACATATGTATATAGTGTATGATACGTGTGTGCTATGAGATAACGTGACATGAATCGATGACAGTGCATCTTCCTCGAAGTTAATAAGTCATCTTTCTAATCTTTCGAGACGAATCCTTCTCCAAAGTGTTAGAACGTGATATTTAATGATCTTTATAAATCGACCTTAATCCCAGTAGATCGTTTATGCAATGATTATGTTTGTGCTAATGTGCTCTTTCGAAGCGAAAGAAATGTGCCCTTTTTAGTGCGTTGATATTCACAAATGAACATAAACTAAATCAATCAAGGCTATTGTTAATACAATTTGAAAAATGCATCTGTAACTCGTACGACAGTTGTTATACTTCGGCTATTCGCTAAAAGAGATAAAAAAATAAAAAGAATGTGACGAATTGAAACGATTTCTTATTATCAGAGGATGGTCAGATTAACACAACAGGTTGTTTGCATCGATATGAATAAGTACGAGATTGCTTGATGAGGTTGTGGTGATAGAGTTGGTCCACGATGGCGGCGCAACTGCTTCGGAATCCTCTGGTACTTTCGTAGGGAACACCTTTTAAGCACAGAAAATTACCTCACGTAATTTCTCCTGAAGGGAACCATTAACGCGTTCGACTTGCATACTGTCTTACCTGGATCTTTCTGTCGCGATTTTTTTTTTGTATTACGATTATTAAGACTTATTTTTAGACTATGTGAAAAGTATACTTCATATACAGTAGAGTAGCGTAGCATAGTATTACATACATACACGTATACGCATATACATAAAATATTAGAACTTTATCTTGAAATAATAACAAAGTTAGATGTAATATTCAGTCATACATATATAAAAAACATATAATATGTTACTGTAAATTCGCAATATCGTCGTTATTGTTTTTAAAAGGATTTATAAGTAAAAAGGTTTTTTTTTACAAATATATCAACATGTATAATGCGAGATATTCACAAAAAATATGTGTAACACGAAACATATATATATATATTTACCATAAAATAACGAGAAATACTGTATTATGAAATAAGAATGTCGTGTCGACGCGAATTGCTGCTATTAAAACGTAAAATTAAAGCTAACAAGTTTATGAATTATCGCTTTCTATTCGACTGAGTACACAACATGTAATTGAAAGGTGATTATACAATGTGCATTAGTTAAACAAAAAAAGGTTCGTCTCTCCTCAATGACGTTCCCTTATAAAATTTTTTCCAAAATCCTCAAAAGTCTTACCTCTATTAGTGTTGAAGCCGTAGTCGATGATGTTGTGATCGATGGTATCACAGCTTGACCAACAGACGGTTTTCTTACAAACAATTCTGCTCCTTTGTATCTCGCGCTGAATCTCGGCGGGGAACCGTTAGGTGTTATCCTGGGGGCTGAATTCTATACGTAGAAAAAATTATACATTGTAGTATATTTCTTCCTAAAGTATAAAAATTACAATATATTTCCAAAATAAAAAAGAAATATCTCACTATGAAACACTTCTGCTTGAATATATTATAAAAATATAAGATATATTAAAATTATTTTTTCAATTATATTATAGATATAGAATAAAATTAAGATCCACGTATTAATTTAATTTTATATCGGATAGAAAATAAATGGTTTTCCGAAAATCATTTAATCACTCACTCCTGTATTCACATTAGAATAGGCTCCGGAGAAGATGGGGGTCTTGTCGCCTAAGTTGTTCAAGAGCGGTGCTACGGTGCTCCGTAGTTGCTCCAGCAGCGTGGTGGTATTCGCAGTAAGATACGTGCTTCTAGTGGGGTTGAAGATGTTGGAGTTTCCGCTATTACCATTGCTGCTTCCGGCGATACCGGACGCTTGCGAGGTGGTATCGTTCGAGGTGTCGATCCTCACGCTGACTAACGGATCAGAGGGTGAAGATCGAGTGCTCGGATCGACTTGAGCATGATACTTAGTCGGCTTTGGGGTGATAGCTATGCCGGCGGTCGTTTGCTCGATCGTCGTCGGCGGCTGAACTACCAGCTGGCTAGTTGGCACCTCGGAATGCCTCCTATAAGTCGACGTTCGCGGACGGAATTCTCGTCGCTTCGTCTGCGGAAGTGTCCCTTCCGTACTGGTTATCTTCGGAATGGAGTCGTATGGCGTGAAAACACCCGATTTTTTCCGGATGTACCTACTAGTGGGTCCGACGGTTCTTGACGTCACCATAGAAACCGTCACCTTGTCCGGTTGCTCCTGACTTGTATAACGAGATCGAACGCTGCTCTTATTGCTTGGAGTTATCGTCTTTTCTTTATCGCCCGACAAGTCGTTCGCATTCGGAATATAAACGGGATATACCTTTTCTAACGTGGACGACGAAAGTATATCATTTGCCGTGGTAACGGTCGGTGGTAGTGTAACTTCTTGAGGGAATTCCGTGGGGACTTTAGATTCTGTTGATGCATCAGTGACAGCACCTGATGTTGCAGTAATAGTTTCAACGAATGTTTTATCTAGCTTCAGCGGTTCGACAGTTGTAATGATGGTGTTTTCCTCTATAGCTTCCACCGTATTCGTCAACGTTGACACTTCGTCCCGCGATGCCGTGGTGCTCGTCGGGGATCGGACTTTTGTCGTATCAACAGTCGTGGCGGCTGTTCCTTCTACGGGAACGGCACCGCGCTGTGAAACCGTAATTAAACGTGGTACAGCGTTAAATTCTGTAACGTTCCTCGACGATGTTTCTTCGATGAACGAAGATGTTCTTTCAGAAGTCACTCGGATCTTCTTAGTCGTACCGGGGGGTGATCTAAGTGAAGATTTGACATTTTGGTCTTTTGTTGATTTTCTGGTCTCTAAGATCTTCCATCTGCCTCTTACAATTGATTTTTCTTTCGGTGCACTCGCAATTGTCGAACTTCCATGTGTGGCACGAGTACCAATGAGCTTGCTGGTCGCTTTTGTTGTTTTCTCTATGTTTCTGCTTTCGTTGACCGTCGAAACTTCTTTCGCTTTTGATTTACCGGAATAAGCGGTCGTCGTTACATCGAAATCGTTCTCGTCAACATTCAGTTCGGGTTTGATTAATCTTCTGGCTAACTCCAGTTTCAGCTTGGATCTTTCGGAGAACAGACTCGTCAAACTTGGTTTTGTGGCCTGAAAAGGTCGTTTAAAGAGCTCCATTTTAAGGACGCGACGAAAATCGCCAAGCGTTCGTAAGCAACCTGCCGAAAGCTCAGAAGTAAATTCTGTTAGTACGGCGACCTTGTACAAGGCGTTCGTCTTCCTCGACTCGAAGCAATGTTCTCAAGACTGTTTGCAAAATTCACTCGTGGAAACGTATTATTCTCTTTTTATATGATTACAAAAAAGCTAATATATAGATCATCTAAGGAGAGCTACATCCACCTTTTATTTTTTAAAGGAGGAATAGAAGTCTGATGAACTGAAGTAAGAAGACGATCCATGCAACCAGTTGGCTAAAGAACCCGAACCAAGATTTCGTTGGCGTGGACTGAAATTTTAATCGTTCTCGTCAAAACCACAATCTAAATAAGAATACTTTACACCTTGCAAAGCAAAATAACATAATGTGTGTAATGTAATGAATAAGCGAAATCGTCTACGGAAAATATGCAATAATAGAAAATATTTGAGGAAACAAACGTAACGTTAAGTGCATGAAGTTTAGCGAATTATCGAATACTATTGCTATCAGCATTTATTTGTAAAGCATATTTCTGCATAATATAATTAAAAATAATAAAATTATATAATTTTTTGGAAAATTATAAGCCACGTACCTTTCTATATTACATTTCTATTTGCAAGTCTACTCTATATATACAGTATTTACAAATATGTATTTTTATTAAATTAAATCGGATTTTTTTAGCACATAATTCAAGAAAATTATTTCTATATAATATATAAGCTTAAAATGGTTCGTATTACAATAAATAACTGATATTTCAAACTGTTATTTATAAGCGAGCAATTGTGCTCTTTCACTTATCTTTAATTGAATGTATCCTTCTAATAAGCAATTATACTGCAATTATGTATCATTTTTTAAACTATTTGCTTCCGTACTTCTAGCAATAATAGATATACAGTTCATGGGGCACAATCATTAAATTGCCTTTCTATTTCTTTTTTTCTACTACCAGTGTGACGGTCTCCTTCACTTTTTTTCATTAGACAGCAAAGTAAAATATTCTTATAAAAAGCTGAGTATAAGACAAAGGAGATTAAAAAAATGTTTTATACCGTAACACATTTACAATTTTATTTACATTGCTAATTACACGACGTTGCTTTAAATACTTCTTCATTTTGTAAAAACTGAAGATAACTAACTCTCTATTTAGCACCCTATTTAGTACTTCAATTAATAAACCTAATAATAAACTTTCACGGCATATCGAGAAGCATCAAATTAAAATCAATTATCTGTTTGAATAACAACGTGGTCATTACTTAATTTGCTGCAATGACCTACCTACGAATATACTTTCTCTCCTCGACAAACTGACAACGTAAGAAGAAAGAGAGGTTGATTATATCAAAGTCAGTTTGCAAAATCTCGAAACCAATTCATTCATTACGCGTCAATAATAGACATCTATTCATCTCATTCCCGGTCGTTTCATCAAAGGTACTTGAAAGTAAAACTAGGATCGCAATCGAAAAGATCAGCAAAAGATTATAATGAAAGATTTGAGGCTGCTCTGCGACCTTTTTGCAATTAGATATATCTTGAGAAAACTTCTTGTCGAGGATTCGCCACTCTTTGCGTCACGATAGCGTTCAAATCCAGTCTCATTTGGATGTTCATTGTCACCACGTTCCTAAAGCTTCTGCAAAACGCATCTCAAAAGCTTTCTGGCGAAAGCTTTAAAGAGTAGATTTTAAATTTTTTCAAAATTGTAACTGTTTCTGTCAAGTTTTACCACCACCGATCACCAAGTAAGCTTCACTGGCAGCGCCAGTCATAATGTTAATAATGCATCATTGTCCAGTTCTGATTGGTTCTTAATGATGCATTTAACGTGAATTTGCGTTTGTAGCAACCAATACACCATTCCTTATTTCATACTGTAATTCTTGTCAAGATTTAGTACCCCGGTTGTAGTGATCTCGAAAAGCGGTCGCGTTCAACGATTGACGATCGTAAGAAACGGATCTCTTTTCGCAATACACTCCCTGATAAAAAATGAAATCAAACCGAAATCTCAATCTTTGTATCCAAAAACTGGGAATAAACAGGTGGTAAGGAAATATATACTAAAGTTGGTATTTTTCCTATGAATGGAGATATCTACTCAGTTGATATCAATTAAAAGTAATTTAACATCAAATGTTATAATTTCGCATTCAATATTGTAATTATTACTCTTTAAAACTTTTAGTGTGAATTTTACTCTAAAGAGTGAAATCTAACTCTTATAAAGATTGAAAATTGAACCATTAAACTCTTTCTCAAAACTGAATCAATCTTTAGAGTATCACTCTTTAGAGTGAGATTTCACTCCAAATAATTTAGAGAATATATAACACCATGTGTTAAATTACATTGAATACGAAATTATAATATTGTTGTTATGTCATTTTTAGTTGATATCGAGTGAGTGTTTACAAAATTTAAGGGAAGCACCGAAAATCTCCGGAGCATGGGAATGATAAAGCGATTTCTCAGCAGGATTAGTGCGCAATCCCAAAGTGCCATTAAAGTTCTAACCAAACTACCGCTAAATTCTTACTTGTCGCGTATCTGGGTCGAGTATCGAAGTTAAGGGGTTCGTGGGAGAAGAGACGTGCAAGACTACGTCTGTCGCAAGCACATTTTCCACAGTTCTGTTTTTTTCGGATACATGCATCGTTTTCGTGCTGGATCGTATATGCCGTCGTAATGTGTGTTCCTTTGAATGTTCCTACGTGGGGCATTTTTTTAGCGCTTTATACAATTATAAATGTATAAGAATTATACACGTCGACGAGAGAAGTCACCACCATATTAATTAATTTTACTTCTACCGTATCATTCCCTTTATCGATGTAGGTGTACATGCTAATTGTTTGATAAAGATTCAAAAGATTAGCTATTTCATGCTAAAGATGCATTTTTAACATCCACAGATTTAACTGCCTACAAATGGCTTAAGTTGAGAGAAATAAGATGCACATTGTTATAAATCGTTAATATGTTAAGAGTTAAAGTAAATTAATAATTAATAATTAATTTAGCAAATATGTCGAAAGATCTGCATGCCGTCTTACCTGCAAGTTGGTCCTAGTTGTACTTTTTCCTTCAGTAGGTTTCGAGTTAGAATTTTTCTGAAAGTATTCTTTGACTGAGTGTGCTTGTTTTTATTGTGAATTTTTTCAGCAGTGTTATTAGCAATAAATAATATTATAAAGATTTCACGATAAAAATTCAAAACATTGCGAAACAGAATTGTGAAATATTTTTGCAAAGAAAGTTTTGAAATGTATTTAATATATTTATGTCGTACTATAATAATTTTAGATAAACAGGTACAAATATAGATATAAATACTGTAACTTTACAAAGTATAATAATTTAAACAATTATAAGTAGAAATTAGACTGATAAGATAATTTAACAAATAAATAAATATGTAAAAAATATATCTGCCTGTTTTTATGTTACGCATTTTTATACGTATTCTGAAAAGACAAACTTTAACCATTATCTGTCTTTTTCGTCTAATTTTCAAGATTCAAAATAAAGCTATACTTTATGTTCCTAACATTGGAAAGAATTAATACAAACGTAATAGACGACCAATTTTTTAAGATAAAGTAAAAACAATTTTTCGTATATAAATAAATTCAAACTCACCAATTGAGACAGTCTAGCTCGAAATGCAGGAGGATAATTGTCACTCTCGGGTTCTGTTCCCTTGGGTAGACCAAAGCTTTCGGATTTGTTGAAGGTTTTATTGCCTCTTGTTGTGCTCTTCGCCGCGACGCCCGATACGATATCGCTCTCGTCCTTTACTTTTGGTCTTTTGGTACCTCTTCGTCCGGCTTTTGTATTATTTAAGGGCGTTTCGGTGCTCCTCGGTGAATCAGTGGACAAGACAATTTCGTTGATCTGATCTCGATTAATTGGCGTGGATGTAGTTGAAGAAGAAACATCTTGATTGACGTGACCAGGTCGACGCCTGAGAGTCCATCCGGGATTACCACGTAATTGCGTTTCACTTTTAGGCGTAGTGGTCCTTGGTTCTGCAACAATTGAGGACGATGCCTCGGTCGAACTCTTTCGACCACGAAAACCTAGACCGTAATTAAAAAAATCTTCCTTCGGGGGTTTAATCGCTCGAGAACTTTCTCCTCTATCTCTTCCCCTGTTGCGTGAAACTCGCTCAGTCGAAGTGGACGTTCGAGTCGTTGTCGATGGTCTGATCGTTGTTGTAAAACTGGATGTCGTAATCTCTGCATCCACAGAAGAAATAGTCGTAATTTCGGCGATTGTCGCTTTCGGAATGTAAGTAGTAGTAACATCTGAAAAAAACGTGATTATTTTCAAAATTATGGTAAAGATTATTTTTAAAATTATGATAATATAGATATGTTGCGCTTCTCATTATTAGTTATCAATTCTGAATTCAAGAATGGATTCTCTAAAACAATATTTGAATTATGTAGAGAAGTTTTTGTGAAAAAACTTCTACATAATTAATTTAAATATTGTTTCAGATATCTTATTATTAAATGATCGCTACACTGAAAAAAAATATAGTCAATTTTATATTTATAGTCAATTTTATAGTCAATAAATATTTAATTCAGTACTGCCAACTAAACATTTACTTACAGTAAATAAATATTTGTTTAGTAAAAAGAATGATTGTTAAATCAAATTAATGTTCTTGTAACATTTTCTTGTAACAAATAAATCTTTATATTTAATAAATATTTAGTTGGTAGTATTGAACTAAATATTTGTTAAAACTGACTATATTCTTTTTCAGTGTAATAATATAATCAAAAGCAATTGAAGTGATTTTTATATAAATAAAAATAATGTCTTTTTGAGACGGTTTATTGCCTCCTTGAGATAGATTGTCAATTTATTAATGCTATATTAATTAATGTTTCAGGATTGAACTGTAAATTACCAAGGTTGCTCGTAGCTGCGCGTGACCGACTTCTGGATTGCACCCGGATATCTTGCTCGTCTACCTTGACTTCCGCTTTTGATCTGCTATCCTTGGATCTTCGCTTTCCCTCGGACGTTCGTCTGTCATTACGTCGTGTGTCCGTTTGTCTGTTTGCATTCGCTTCAGAATCGATGTCTGTATTCCTCTGTCTATCGTTATTTCTTGCTTCCGCCGTGACCGCATCTCTCGACTTATGTGTAGAACGGCCTCTCGAATTGACGTTCTTCGAGCTAGATCTGTGTCTAGAATTGGAGGATCGTCTATTCGTCTCCGCAGTTGCGGTACTGCTGGATCTGGACGAACTTCGACGAGAATTTGCAGTCTCGAAATTAGGATCCCTCGTTTTGGATCTGTTACGAGATTTCGATCGATTAGACTGTCTACTTTTCTTCGTGTTCGATCTTGCGATGTCGTTGCTCTCTATCTTTTCCCTGTCCGACCTCGAAGCTTGTCTCGGAGACACACTAACGGACGAAGCCGTGGCAGACGTTAAAAGATTGACGTCTTCATCATTTCCGACTGTCAGAGGAACGTTCACTCTTATACTCTCGGAACCCGACAACGAAACATCTTTTGAGTGATCCTTATGACTGCCAGAATTGTTCGTGCTTTTCGTATCTATTTTTTTTGACATGTTCGCTTTCGGAGTAACATTCTCGATCTTTGAACGTTCCAATCGTGCTTCTTCTTTTTCTGATTTTTTGCTCGGACTTTTAGCTTTCTCCACATTTTCATTTTCCGGAGATTTTCTGGTTGGGATTATTTCACCTTTCGATTCTCTCCCGTGATTCACAGAAATCTTTCTTCCTGTTCTTGATCTTAAGTGATCCGACTTGGTAAACACTTCGTGATCCAACTTTACATTGTCCACCCAGATGAGGGATGCGTCCGAAGACGTTCTTCGGGAAGCTGTCAATCGTTTCGGCGTTCGTGACTCAGGCGCGTTCTCTTTATTGTCGTCCCTCGTTATTTCTTCTTTAAGAGCCTGTGTAGCGTGTGATTTTTGACGATTTCGTGAATTATCAACACTAGTATTCAAATGCCTCGAACTTGTTCGTGATGTAGTAGTAGAATCATCTGCCGCCTGTGATTGCTTTAATTTTGTTCGCGATCTAATCGAACCTTCTTTCGCAAAATGCGTTTCATGCTTTTCTAAGTTGGCAACTGCTTCTGAACGGGAACTCTTATCGCGAGGCAACCTGGTTTCCGGTGTAGAAAGACTATTCGATTCCGTCGTTGATTTAAAGTTGTATCGCGCAGTACCGCGATTCGTTATTTTCTGTCTATCCGTCTGAAAATGTGCAGTTATATATTTATAATAATTTTATCATCGTTTTATTAGTAGGTCAAATTACTATTAATTAATTGCATTATTTCTATGTTACAAATCTTTGTTCCTGGAAAAAAAAAAAGAAAAAGAGGTTTTATTAATTTCTGGAACAGAACGTTTTTAATGATATATATTTCAAAACATTAACCCGATTAAAATCCGTACAATTATTATATAATTACTGAAGATGCTCTAATTATCAAGATGCTTTTTTATGTTAGTTAAATAATTGACGGTAATAGCGTTAATTATAAATGCGAAGTAAAAGGCATAAGAACTTTCATGAGAACGGATTACTGCATGTGCTAAATACTTAGAAAGTCCATAAATAACCGCCCGAGGACATTTTAGAAATATCGTTTATGTGATCGATAATCGATCAATTAAAGGCTATAATTGTTCGATTAACATATGTATAGTTAGACGATTAACGTATGTATAGTTAGATGATTATGATTTCTGCGTTTTAATATGAAAAAGATAAAATGTATCGTTAATCAAAAGTACACGTCGAGAGAAAGAAACGTCCTAGAGATACACGGTAATCCGATTGCAAAGATACCATACCTAATGAAATCGCAGGAAAGTACCAATTATACAATTAAGAGAATCCTCTGAAATTGGGATTAACGCAGATGGTAATAACCGGTTTTGACGGGTCCGATCGATCAGCTATCGTTGACAATAATGCCTGACAAACGCAATTAATTGCATTTCCAGTTGTTACGGCAAATAGGCCGTATTCGTCACAGATTATACCTTCACCGTTAGCGTTAATAAGCGGCATTAAAATCCTCGTGACTACATTGACCTGTCGATGCTTAGAGGAAAACGGCTCTAGCGTGCACACTTCTCATTTGAAATTTTTCTCCTCCTTCTTCGCAGTTGCAACAAACTTGTTTTCAATATTGGACGTTTGCACAAGATGCAAATGAGATGACAGTATCGTTTAATCCGTCGAATTTTATGAAGCAGTTATTGTAATTTTTCGTATCAAATTAATTCGCAGTGAATCGATAAAACTGTAATCCATTTATGGATAAATCCAACAATCCATTGACTCAACAATATAGAAACTTAGAAGTGCTTTTGAAATATCGCTTTTGGTGATATATTTCAAAGATCTTAATTAAATAATAAAAAATATTGAGAAGATTTACAAATTCAACGAATTCCAACAATTTAAATATTCCAAATTCTCAGTTAATCGATTGATCTGGATATAAAAAGCCAGACGTTCAACGATAAATGTTTGTAGATTTATACCATAATAGTAAAGAATTAAAAATAAAACTTTTGAGGCATCCACTGATATTTTTTTCAAAGAAGCTACGTGATTTGCGAGTTATTTTTGTGTTTTAAATGCCAATGTTTCGTAAAATATTGCAATTCACTTTACCAGGAGAACCACAACCTGATACTTAGAATATGTGTGTTAAAAAATTATTTAAAATCTTAATTCTTATATCGTTTAAATATTTAAAATATAAAATATAATACAATACATAAGAAGTTTAAATAGTAATATATTATCATAAAATATAATAAAATATTTTGTATTTATATTGTATAAATATTAAATGATAATTCTTTAATGTCAAAAAACTGTCAACAATACTTATTTCTGGATCTCCAAAATCTTTCACAATCAATAGTTCCTAAATATTAAAAAAATTCTTTTTTTATCATCCATATATATAGACAGAAATATCTCAATATATTTCATATTTCTACATATGAAATGAAAAATGTGAGCCTTTAGAACAACAGCTGTGATAGTGTTATATGCGATTCATGATATGTGAATATGCGTTCTAGTTTCATTACTATCTGTCTAAGTCTTTTAGTCGTCGTGCTATCGATACTGAAAGTAAAAGTCGGTGTCACGTCACGCCACGCTATTCCGCAAGGCATGCTGTTAAAAACGAACTGTCGCGAATCTAGTCGATCAGATTTGCGCGTAATCAAAACGAAGAAAATTGGAGAACGAACTTGGAAATTAGTATGTAAATTTGATGGCTTCAGTGAACATAGATGAAAGATAAGAGGATTATCAAGTCATTTAGCTATCAAAAAACAACCTTTAACGTTCGTTTCTTACTTGTTGGTACCAAATAAAAAATTTAATGGTACCACTATCCTACTCTTCTTTCAACCACTCCCACCAACTAATTTTATTTTTTTTTTTCACTAAAAATTATCAATTCGACATTGAAACAGCAGACCTGTGTATTATTTTCGATTTAGCAAAAAAAATTTATATTCAGGGACGTAAAGATTAAAAAACAGTGAAAGAACAGTGCCTCAAATATGATTTTTTGTTGCATTTTTCGTGAAAAGCCTTTATGATGTGAACATTTTTAGAGGAAGGCGATGACCGAGAATTGCAAGATACTTATGCTAAATATTAAAATAATTAAAAATGAAAAATATAAATATTTTTTATGACTATACATAACGCGCAATCGAGTAACTTGTTCGAAAAGAAACGTACGCGTTGTCGACGGAATTTATAAAGAAAAGAAAGGAACGGCGGGTAGAGAGTTCCGGGACGATTCATGTAAAAAGGAAGTAATGCAAATTGCGAAAGAAAGTCGAATTAATACAGTTATGACGCGTAGAAATCGAGAAAATTTTCGGATCGCCTGACTGCCTGACGATTATTACGAAATAGGTGCTTGTAACACACCGTGCGGATATTGGAAAAGTTCTTTGAACAGGTGAGAGGCTCGACTTTGCTCCGCGAAGGTGGACTGCTTCCACACCGACGAATCAAAAGGGTCGTCTACATCTGGGCACTATTGTCCTTGTCCTGTACCCCGATGGAATTTGTATCGATAATATTGTATTCAACCCATTTAATTCAAGCAAGTTCCATATGCAATGACCTTCTATACCTTTTGACGTATCGCCTTCTTGCGAAAGTTCACAGAATCATGTTGTGAGGTCGTTCTGCTTTTATTCAGTCTTTGTTATATATACCTGTATATATTTTTTCCGTTTACGAGCTATATAATTTACAATTTCCTTATCATTAACTTTACACGTAGTTAGCTTTAAGTGGATCTATTAGTTACCTACGATTAAAGCAGTAAAGGGTAATAATAAGGAATAATTAATAAATTTAAATCGTACAAATAATTATTTTAGTTCAATACATTTCTTTTACATGTTCCATTTTTATGTAATTATCAAAATTATTGCAATGTTATATTATAATAATTTTGATAATTACATAAATATATAGTTAGATTTTACATCAAATACTTGCAGAAACCTTTTCTAATTGTGAATATGTATGAAGATATATATTGTCAGTATTCCACAATAAAACATATTTCAAAGATAAAAAAATTGAAAGTTTTGATAAGTATTTATAATCATAATTTTAACAAATGCCCGAATTATTTAGCATTTTTGGAGACAAATATAGGAAGTTATCACGGGTTGGAAGGCTTTTCAAATATCTTATTTATTATCTTTATGTCACGCATATATAATGAGAGTATACATAAGAGCGACCTAAAAAAAAACTGGTCCGAATGGGCCAATTTTCAGGGTGTGGTCTCGGCGCCAGATCCAACTCAAGCAGTTTATAACAGAGTTAACTTAAGGATCGTTACTTTCACCCAAACTTTTATTCTTTCTTGGATATATATTTTACATTATATATAAAATATACTGAATAAAAATATATCTAAAAATGTCAACATTTTAAAGATTATATAATACTATAAAAATTATTTATTATAAAAAAGATATATATAGTACATATTTTATTTCATGCAATATAAAAAAATAAAAGACAAAAAATTTATAATGTGATTTATATTTAATTTATCCTTATTTAGAACAATCAGCATATTTAAGCGTAAATAAATGATAGAATTTTTGCAGCCTACAAAAACCAATTAAGTTATGAAATCTTATTCTTTATTTAAATTTAGATGAACTTTGTATTCTTTGTACAATGTAAAATTTTTATTAAAAATACAATTAATATAAGATATTTAATAGGTACAATCTATTATTTGACCATAGCAAATTATTAGCTTTACTTAAAATTTGTTTAGAAGTATTAACTTCCCTAATTTATGTTCTTAAAATTAAGTTTTCGATGATTCTAAAATATTTTATATCATGTCGCTCTATTGATAGAAAAGTAATACATATAAAAATTAGCATCTTTTCAGTAGAATATTTTTTTAATTTAAGCAATACTTTAATTAAGATAATGAATATGCATAATTTCACTTTTGTTCATATTATGCTTTCAATTATAATGTATATTAAAGTGTTGTGAATTTTTAAAACTGTCGTTTTAAAACACGATCGGTTTCAAACACTGCAATTTAAATGACAATTTTTTACTTGTGTCACTTTTACTTGTATCAATGAAGAGATATAATGTGAAAATGTATTTTGAGTCTGAAAGTAAACAGTTTCCTGTATTTATATGTAGCTTTATTAAATTAATAAACAAAAGATATTATAAGATCAATAATATTAAAAATTAACGTGTGATGATATTAAATAAATGTTAATACAGAGAAATGTTTACACTTGAATGATACTTGATTAAATGATATCAAAGAGCTTTTTGCACCTGCAGGTAAATGCAAAATGAATCACTTGAATGCAATAATCTTGACTAAGAGTTTAAACGTTGCAATGCAATATAAAGCAACTTTTCCCGTTAACGAGCGAAATCGAACGATAGCTGAAGGACACTCGAGCATATATACAAACATCACAAAGTTGAGTGCAGCGTAAACGACGTGAATAGGTTACTACGTGAATAGGTAGTTAATGCTGTACTTTCGACTTCTGACCTTTCGGGATAATTATGTGTTTTGAATTCATGTGATCAAATTAATTTATGCGCCCCGATCTTTACAGCTCTCCTTAAAAATTATCATTGATTTTATGCATTCGCCTATGAAATACAGAAATCACTATTG